CAGTCACATCTGAATGGCTGGGGAAACAATTTTCTAGACATTATAGGAGTTAACTAAGAAATTAATATCAAGAACAAGTAAAGGTATGGGCATCATCCCCTCAAACAACCATGCAATGCATGCATACTCACCTGGAAGAGGCCTGGACTGGGATAAGGTGGTGGATAGCTGATCGTGTACATGGCACCGTTGTGTGGTGAGGGTGAGCCAGCCAGCTGATAACATAGTGTATAGCCAGGGAGTGACAAATGCATGATGAAAGCTCATGACAAAATGAATCAAACAAATAACTCCATTCCACATGCATGTGTACATTGTGTTGATGTATTGGAATTTAATGTTTGTATGTGTGTAATAAAGATAAAGATAAGAAAGAAAGAGAAAGAGAAGAGAGGATGGAAGAGACAGAGAAGAGAGAAGAGATGAGGCAGAGAAGCAAAAAAGAATGGCAAGTGAATTTAAAATAAAAAGATAAGAGTGAAAAGATCAGAGAGAGAGATAAGAGAAAGGAGAGGAAGGGATGGGATGGGAGAGGAGAGAGAAGAGAGGAGGAGAGAAAGGAAAGAGAGAGGAGAGAGGAGACTTGAAACTCATCTATCCCATTAACATTGAGCTTCTCAAAAATGAGGTTTCTGAATGCTCAATTATGTTCCCTGCTTTTTAACTACCTATAAAAATGCAAACTGATAAGACTACAAAAACTATATGATTTATTTTTATGGCAATATCATTATTACACACACACACACACACAAAAGCAACAGCACAATAAACATCTTACTGAGTACAACCACATCTTTTTTTTGTTAATCTTCATACTTTCACATCAATTATATATTAACCCAATGGTGACGGGTGAAGAAGAAGAAGAAGAAGAAGAAGAAGAAGAAAAAGAAGAAGAAGAAGAAGAAGAAGAAAAAAAAAAACTACGCTCTTGCAAACAATGGCGGCGCGCCAGCTTTGAGGGAGTGAGTTCGGTACATCGGCCCGAATCACTGGCTCGCCGTGCTTTGGCGCACCGCCGCGGAGTACAGCCACACGCCAGCTTTCGAGCGGTTTGTTTTCACGTCTATCAGCATCACCCGTCATTAAGGGGTTAACAGCATATGAAAAATAACTTTGAAGTGCAGTTGATTTGACCAATCAATCAACTCTGAACTAAATGTTCTGATTATCTTTACCTTTATTTGTAATTATTGTTACCATCATCAAATATATTTCATTTTTGTTCATTATGCTATTTGCAGTATCTGATGGCCTATTTCAGTAGGGCATATTTATGATAAAAGCGACCTAACCTTCACATGTAAGGCCCTGGGTAATTTTTTATTTTTTTTCATGTGCAGCTTGCATGTTGTTAAATACAGTAATCATTTTAAGATAAAAGGATGAAAAAGCAGACTGAGGAAGATTAGCTAGGATTTTTTTTTTTTCCTAAGAAAAAATTCTTAACCCAATGGTGCCAGGTGTACAAAAAAAGAAAAAAAAAAAAAAAAAAAAACTCTATGCTCTGGCAAACAAAGGCGGCGCGCTGACTTTGAGCGCGTGAGTAGGGTCGAATCACTGGCTCGCCGCCGCGGCGTACAGCCACACGCCAGCTTTCGAGCGGTTTGTTTTCACGCCAATTGGCGTCACCCGGCATAAATGGGTTAATCTATGTAGTCTCAAATTCAATGTGACCGTTGAAGGCATAATCATACTGAATACGATTTAACTATTAAACCCAAATATAGAAAGATTCAAACTCCCCACCCGATCAATTTCTTTGTAAGATAGTGCATAACTTACATAAATTAATACTCAAGATATGTGAATGATATATGCTGCCATTTTTATTATATTTACAAATAAAAAAATTATATATTTGTTTTGTGCCAACATTTGGATAATCTAGAGTGCCAAAAAAAAAATTCATATTACTTGACTGCAGTCAAAGTAACCTTTAAGTGCCTCTTGATATAAATGGCTGATCCACATCCAATAACCATGTTGAGGCAGGAGCCATTAATTTTATCATCTTTATAAAGTAACAAGAAGAGAAATGTGAAATATAAGAATCAATAAAGAGGTGATGGGACATCACAAAGGATAAGGCTAACAGATAGTCTTGACTTATTGACATTATTACTAGCAATACAAGATGAAAGAAATACTTTTGAAAATCAAGGAAAAGAGTAAACAGGTGAGATAGATAGTACTAGTAATTGGCTCATTAGTGACTATGTACTTGTGGAGCTATTTATATGACTTGTAGTGCCAATTAATTAAACTCCCAGTGGGATAACTACCTATTAAAGTTATCATAAAAAGCTATCCTCAGAAATGGTTACGAATATTACAGATCCCCAGGCACAGTGTAAGCCCATTCTTTAACCTTATTTCCAATAAGCGATAGTTTTATAAATGTGTTTGTGCAACTGCTCTTTGTTTAGCATTGATAATCATAATTCCTTACTGCAGTCTGAAAAATCTTGTTTTGGTGCATGTCGTGCTGATAATATAGACTTGTGAAACAATTGTCCATATCTAAGTACAGTAAGTCCCCAACTTAAGAACATAATGGGGACCGAGAGGTTGTTTGTAAGTTGATTTGTTTGTATGTCGAAAGTTGGTTCTCCATTACCTTTTTTCCCATTATTTTAAAGTTTTGTTTACATTAAGAATACCTGTAAATAAATCCCAATAAGTACGACATACCTTATACAGTACCAGACTCTCGAACTATATTCGCGCCCGGGAAATTTGAAGTTTGCTAGCATCTTTCAAACAATTTTTTGGACTTTAGTACTTAAAAAATTTTGTTTGTATGTATGGAATGTTCTTAAGTAGGGGACTATCTGTATATTAAGTGGTTCTCAATTATGCACAACTAAAATGCTTTCCATCTCATATAAACTGTTCCAAATGCCAATCATCTTTTTCTTTTACTCTCTCCTAAATCCTAACCCTCTCTCTCACTGTGTTAAACATTGTGTTTTAATCAATAATATCTTAAGTAGTGTGTAATGCAATAATACAATGACATACAACAATAAACAAACAAAAAAGTAAGGGTGCAACTAATGTCCTGATTATATGCAAATAGACCAAAAGTCACATCAGAACAATACATATTTCTAAATCTACTTAAAATACAAGCAGAGAAACTGGGAAGATACTCTATAGGATAACTATGTATAAAATAAATAGAAAAATATAAATTTTGCTTAAGTGTGGAAAATTCATATATATTTTCCTATAATACAAGCCAATAAAAATAATAATATTCTTGACATTTTTGTACTGAAATTGGTACTGCCCCTCCATGTAAACAAGAGATCAAAAATAGGGCCCCAGATATATCACCTTAAGCACATTACTGATGGGTGAAGAAAATGAAAAAAACTCTACGCTCTGGAGATTAATGGCAACGAGGTGACTATAAGTACGGGAGTTTGTTACATCGAGCCAAACACCCCACTCTTTGCGTTTTGGCATGTCGCCAAGGCGTACAGCCACACTCCACAGATCAAATGGTTTGTTATGACGCCAGAGGGCATGACCCATCGGTATAGGGTTAATGAGCTTCTGTTACATTGGTAATACTATTGCCCTGTTTTCACTTAAATAAATCTGAAAATAATTATCCAAATGCAAAAAAGTTGTAACTGCATCAGGCCAGTCACCTGCCTGATCAACTTCATATTGACAAAACAAGAACAGGATACAGATCACTAGATATACTTAAGATCAATGAAAATGAATCAGAGGGATATTGTGTTGTGCTATATGGTCTTCATGTCATGCTAAAATTTGTTTTATATATAAAACAGTGGAAACTATCAGTTATTCAAGTTGGGACACAGCTTATCACTTAACCAATTGCCTCTGGGAGAATGTGAGGTTCACTTGGCCTCCGCTCCAGGGACTATAAACAGCCAACTGAGTTTTCCTCCAGAGCCTTTATCAGAAGCAGCCAGCGCATAGCACTCGCAGCAACACATCAACAATGTGATGTTTCTTTTTTTTTTTACCACTTGTATGCAAAACATTATTTTAATTCTTTTGTAAATTCAGGCACACATGATATGCATTTTAGTTGCTAGATGGAACCTGTAGTAGCCTGAATCAATTCCAATAAATAAGGTTTGTTACACTCAGTTTACAAGATTAAAAGTGGTTTCATTTACGGATAAAGTTTTAAAATATCACTCATTTTTGCAAAATATAAGATTGTATGCAGTAATACGCAAAGCTGCTACTACCATGGTTTCAGTACTTCCCTTTCAAGACAGTCACACTGGCAGAGCACCAAAAGACAATGTGAGTAGTTGACACACACAGACTGATCTTGTAAACAAGAATGAAGGTTACGTATAGGTTCACATAAGTAGCAAATAAATGCCACATTTTAGGCTTTACATCTTCCATGCATAGCAGGTGAATGATTTATGTGCTAAAATTCACCCTTAATACAAAACAATAGCCAATCATAGCATTACACATTACACATTTATGATTTCCATTTTCACATTTAGCATCAACACAATTTGACATGTACCCTTGAAAGGGTTTGCATCAGCCAATATTTATTAATGAGTCTGGATGTTAAATCAACAATTAAACACCAGTGCCTCAGAGTGAACTGGCACTGTGGTATCAGGCTGTTTCAGTCACTGGAAAGTAGACACATACTGTTCATGCTATTTTATTTCACATTGGAACTTCATTTATTATTTGCTTCTCATGTGTTTCCTGACATGTGTTTAAATTGTCAAAGTCCTAATGATGAAATAATAAAAAGCAATTAACCCCTTACTGATGGGTTACGTGTATAACTGTCATAACAAACAGCATGGTCTGTGGGGTATGGCTATATGTGCTGGAGTGCGCTGAGCGGGAAGTTCTGCTACATGTAGCGGACTCCCGTGCCCAACTGCTGGACATTGTCAGAAATCACCAGAGTTTATAAAACCGAGAGATTTCTGATATCTGTCACTGAGGGGTTAACAATGAATCTA